GCACTCTTGACCAGGGAAGAGATGGGTGTCACGTATGCAGTTGAGTATTGATTCGTGAACACAGGCGCTCGCATGTTTGGTTGCCATTGACCTAGTCTTATCTTCATTATTTCATTAGCTTTTCTTTCCGGCATTTTAGACACTAACGTAGAAAGCTTTTAGTAAAACGGTTCCATACTTCGCGTGCGCGTTGTGTTCCATTCATTGGCTAAAGGCCATACTTAACAATGACCATCACCGCACTCTGACTGAGGGTGGGAAACATACCTCAGCTAATGAGCCGCAATACAAAGAATGCAAGATAGAAAACTTACGCTACAATACATTAACTTGGCATGTAATATATTGGTATTTGTCGTATTATTTATTTGTTATGAAATCACAATTGGAAGGGAAACTAAATTAGAGCAGATGGACAAAGTAACACAGCAGACGTCATTAGGGTCAGATCTTCATCATATCAACAAGTGTGTCCAACCATACATGTTCATCGTCCTTGGGGCGCCATTCCGGCAGACGGAATGCACCAGCCGACATCAACTTCGAAGTGGTTTTCATTCCTCTTGACCAGGTCATCGCTTCCCTTCTCCCCCCTTTTCTTCCGACTCTATCCCGGTCGCACAAACGACGCACATCGCGGATTTCGGTGTGCAGGCATGCGCAGGATATGACCGTTATCGGAGGGTGATATAATAGTGCTAAGCGATTCACTCGCTCTTCCTGCACCAAATACACTACGTTGAACCAGTCATTGCTCACGCGGTGCTCCCGCCAGACATGAGCTAAGCTGCGAAGGCGGCCATGGTCGAACTCAACAAGTCTCTTCATGTCTGTCGGCCTGATGGGCCTGGTTTCACAACCGTATTGGAGGGTTGAACGTACGGCTGCTTTGTTAACTCTGCCATTCAAAGCGAGTGATGTTGCGTCGACACCACGGATGGTGAAACTTGTCAAAAACACCTCTAGCTTGCAAAACTCTTGAAAGCTAAACTGTCTTCGTTTACTGGTTCAAAGCTCTTGTTGTGCGCGATACGTGGGTCACATTTGAAGCGCCTATCTCAGAGCATTCACGAGCATATCCCGGTGTCGTTCTACAAAGGCGAAACAAAGTCCTCATACAGCTTTATTGTGTCTCGCCTTAATTCTGCTCATTGGATTGGTGGTTTGCTTTTCTGGATTCGCATGTCCCTGTGGCCTCCACGGGGACAGCTATAGGACGCCTACACCTACTGATGGATCATGGGTTGCTTGCGATACACTACCCACAGCTCCATCCACACACCCCATATCCGGGCTGGCCCGGAGCCGGAACGACATGGTTTCTGCCTTGCGACCCGGAGATCGAAGGTTCTAGCCCGCGAAGGAGACCGGGCGATCCTCGAAGTATCCTTAGCCCACGCGCGACTGGTGGTGTTTGCGTGGCGGCATAGCGTCGCCACGGCGAACTGCTAATACCCCACCCATATTTGGTGTATTCCCCGAAGAAATAAAACCGGGAGGAATATGAATGGGATCCAGATTTCATCAACGCAACCGGTCCACACTCCTTCAACATGCACAGCGGCAACGTTCCAGTCACTCTAATTGGGGAATCATTCGTATCAGACATACGCAAGGCGGTGGTTCGGTCGTAACCTGCTCCACACAGGATGCATGGAACGATTGTTTGAGCCTATCAAAGGCACGAGGACCGTGCATCCAGTCCCCCCAGAAACGATTTGGTCTTCAGCTTCCAGTATAATCGAGGTAGAGGGTATTAGACAAGTCTGCATCTTTTCATCATTCATATCAAGCGCAGCCAGGCATTGATTTTCACACGGGAGGTTTAATGTGTCAGGCACACGTCCGACAGACAATCGTGTTTAGCCTGATGGAAGCGACAAAGCATATCATACGTTTATTCAGCGTCGATTCTGGCTACTGCACAATGGTATTGCAAATTCTCTAGAATCAAATAAACTCACATCCATTTGTCCACACTTGTGTATGAACTACCATGAATTGATTGGAAAAACCATGAACCTTTCCGAATAATAATACTACAAACGTCCATTGATTGCGATTGGAGGCAAGAATAAGAGTCATATTCGTCGACTTATGAAATGGCACGTGCAAGTACAAGTACCCAATAAGAACTGTTGTTGGTTAGTCAAAGTTTAGACGTGAACCTACGTGACAGACACAATTTGGATGGGCGCCAGCAATATCTAGAGCTAGGTACGTGAATAAAGAAACAAATGACATCAATACAGCTGATAGGTGGGGTTATACAAAGGGTGCAGTAAACTAGAAATGATTTACTGTATATGCAGTCTCCTATATGTAAACTCCGGCTTGCAGCTGATGGAGATCGCACACTGTGAGAATGTGACGGAATGTTAACTGCAGTCTTTCCTTTCCACCGCTTAAACCCGAACCGGTCCGATCGTCGCCTGGCCCAGATAGATGCAGATTCCCAAAGAATTCTCACTTTAACTTAGTTATTATCAGGTAGGAATATCACACACTGGAAGATGGCCTCTTTTGCGCGGCCACAGTAATGATGCAGCAAATAACTATCCGCTGCTCACTCTAAAACATCCGACTTCTAATAATATTTAACCTGTTTAGTAACTTCCCAACAAGTAGTATGGCTGTCGCTAAAGTACTCCTTATCAACCATTGGCAGGTGTAGCTTTGTACTCTGCCGCGACGATAAACTATTTGCTAACAATCTGTCCTCGTTCGTCTCGGATGCAGCCATTCGACACTCTTCTAGCGAAGTTAGCTGTGCGCTTAAGTATACAAAGTCACTAAGGTAACATCACAGTTGACCTGACCTAAGTCTACTCGAAGATCGACCACTTCCACTTTCATGTCTGACAAACGCCTCTGCGTTTCTATCCTTAACCTTGATAGTAACTGCCTTTTCATATGCTCAGCTAAGTTGCAACCGGCAGGCGAACAACATGCAATATTGCTATGTTCACTCTCATGACTAAGCACAACATTGTGGTAATCGCTGATCTGTCACTCACCGGGATTATTCACTATATCCGGAGTTTCCGGAGCGACTTTTCTTTGGTTGCATGGTCTGTACATCCTCTGAAAATGACAGAAGTCATCTGCTCATTCAGTTGTTGTGGAGTTCTCCGGGCTGGGCAACTTGATTGCAAACGTCTCGCCACCATTCGCAGTGTCATCTTCAGTGCAGCATTGATAGTAGTCAGGTAGCAGTAGCTGGTAGAAAGCAAACCCAATAGTGGATACTGTCAGCAATCACTCCTTTTCTTATATAGCCTTACGGGGCTATTAAGTTTGCCTCGTTTTGATTGGGGAATCATTATGTTTTGCGGTCGTGCTCGAGTCACTGTCATTGGCTTCGAAAATGTTGTTGCGGCGTGGTTGGGATTAACGTGCTCCGATTGGTGCACCGGGTGGGGGTAAGCAGTCTGGGCTCACGTTGACCATTCTATTCATTATCTGGGTTTTGGACTAGGTTCTTTCGTGCAAAGGTTCTTAATCCTCTTGAGTTCTCTCTGTCTCCGCGGTTAGTATATTAGATCAATGTCGATATGCAGGTTGCTTTAATTCGTGGTTGAGAATCACGCTTCGAGAAACTCCCTCCCTTTTTGGGTTTCTCCTTCAGTTAAGGTCTCTACTTTGTTCCAGTCGAAGCTGTGTCCCTCTTCATCCACGTGTGCTGAAACCAATAAGGTTGCGTAGTGTTTCTTGCATGCACTTTGCTGTTTATGTACCCTTGTGGATAGCTTCCTTCCTGTTTGTATCACAGTGCTTTTCACAATTTACGCAGTTTATTCTATATGCGACATTCCGTCGTTCTATTGTCTCTCGCTTTTCTTTTGGTTTTGACAATGTATTCCTCAGGATGGTGGTTGGCTTGTGATGCTCGGAGAACTCCACAACAACTAAACAAGCATCCCGAGCTACCGATATTCCAAATCATTTCGAATCATCTGCTCATTACCTGAACGCTTCTCGCAAGGTTTCTGTAAACAGCTCCTGTCCATTGTCTAGGTTATATACATCCACCATCTGAAACCGGAATTGTGTATACGAAAGCGGTTCATACGGCCGATGCTACTACCATGGCCACCAGACACTGCCACTTAGCTGTCTGGTTGTTACCTTAGCTATTTAATTCCGACTACTGAAGTTTGGTGTATAAACATTCCTTTAGTTCTCCTGGCCCATTCTTAACTCACTCTTGTTATCCTGATGACCATAACAAAACCCCTTTATGTAAACGTCTGTGCTTGGTGAATTTTTATCCAAAAAGAATTCTTAGCCAACCACTAGTTTGTGGTTTCCGTTTTCTTAAGACATTTATCAGCACAACATTAGTTTTAACGCACGACAGTTCTGCAGGACCATTTGCCTGCCACTGATCAGTTCGTTCCTCTTTGATTAGTGACCGTAGACTATTATGACCGCTGTGTCCGCATATTTCGCAAAGCTTCTGTTTTTCAAATGGGGAAGTTGTCCCATTCGTTATTATTATTATTATTATTATTATTATTATTATTACTTTTACACTGCTTTTAAGGGGGTATGTTGTAGCGTGGTTCTTATTTTAGAGACAATTGATTTGGCTTCCACCCCTGATAGATTCCTCGTATCATGCAGCATTGGGAAATGTGTGTCACTAGAAGCTCCTGATGGGAAGACGCGACTATCTAGTTTGATGTGCAAACTACGACGGGCACTTGATCATGGTCAATTGCAGTGGTTTTCTTTAAAACAACCTATTGGTATCTGCTTGAGGCAATTATTGCCTAGTGTGCTACACATGCGACTGGGCTGTGCATCTACAACACTGCTCCTACTTCACACACTAATCACCCTGCCTTCGCTCCCCGAAATGCCACCCGCATGATGCGGCGAGGTTATCCACTACACGACCCCCTCGTTTGTTCAAAATTCTGAGTTAACATCGGCGTTATTCATTCCATCTGTTTGTTGTTGTTGACCAGATCAATTTTTTTCCATGTTCATTACAGGTAATGTGGTACGGTTTTATTCACTATTCCAACTCCACTGTTGCATATGCGGAACCAGAAATGTGGCCAACTGAAGAACAACATGGTTTTTGGGCTGGTTTGGGAATACCAGGGACGAACTATCTCTCTTGGGAGTCATCCACGAGCACCTCGCATCTTCGTTCTTCTTATCCCCCCTCAGGCCTTTTTGCGCACTTGCTTGCAATGACGCTTATCCTCACAGGTTCCACTTCTGTCTTGGCTATCATTATAAGCTCGCTACGCACTGGCTTGGGTCTGGTATTAGCCACCCGATTGGCCCAAATCGGTCGCATTCATAGATCTAGTGAGATGCGCAACTTTTACACGCGCTTCGGATGGGTGAGTACACACTTTATTGTAACTCAGCGATATTTTCTACTATCACAACTTTGACATTCCACTTTTCTGGAATCCGAATGCACTTTCTTAACTACAAACCGCTTTGGTACACCCTGCCATCACTATCTACCATCGTGATCTAATCATCCGCTACTTATACCATTGGTGTGTGTGTGTGTATGTGTGTGCATGTGAGTCCCAACTGTCGCGCATCGCTAGCTTAGGTCAATGAAGACGGTGCAGATTTGCACTCTATCGTATGTTCGTTCTCTTTGCACTGATTGCCTGAACGTTTAACCTGTCCCTCCGGTGATTCATTTATCTGCTAATCAACAGTTTTTTTACTTGAATTTTCATCTATACTGTGTCAACTTGGCGAGCCGTAGCCGAAGTCAAGTTTGTCACTGAACACGGCTTACAATGTTTTTTTTCCAGATCGCTTATGTTTCGATAAGTCTCTTGATAGTAACGCTCATCGTAAGGTATTTAGCTTCTTTTTGTCCTCAGCTGACTTGGCAAAGTTACTCCGAGGACCGAATAGAATAGTTGGGTCGCGTTGCTGCATTCCTAGATGATAGCTTGGGAGTCGGCCACCTTGGATGCTAAGAGCTATCAGATCTGGCGTAATCGCGAAATCTATGACCTCATGTGTGTTTCTCGATAATAGTAGATGCAGCCCCGTGTTGCGATCCGATCGTTGCACAGAGTTTAGGATGCAGGATCCGTTGATTGTGCTCAGCATCACTGTTGGAATATACTCCACAGTATGGCACTTGCTCGTTCATAGCGATACCATATTGTGAACTAGGCAACAAATCACGGAGATTATGAGGATTTGACTACCGACCCGTATATTATTCCCTATTGATCTGAATCAAAATACAAGCTCTTGGTATCAGGGGCAGTAAGCCAGCGCGAATGAGATTGACCATCCAAGGGTTACGTAACTTTCTGGTTTCACTGTATTTTGTCTTACTGCCTCAGCGTTTCCTTATCCCCGCCATTTACGTTTGCTTTTATCTGCCTTTCTTCTAATTTATCCCTTCGCTTCCATTATTTGTCATCTTCATAGCGGCGCACATAAAGTCGCCTGGATCGGTCTGGTATCATCACTTCACTGGTAGTTGGTTGCATGAACCGATCTTGCTGTGTTGATTCCTCAGGACCTCGCTCAAGAGCAACATGGGAATGTTTGTATGACATCTGATTCACCAACACCAAGCCAGCCCTTCCTAACTGCGAACACTTTTTAAATTCACGAATGCCTTTTTTTATAGCTGTTCAGCCCATGATCCCTGACATTAATTAGACTTTCCCCCGTCAGTATTGACACTCTGAACATCTAAAACTGCATATGGCATTTGGTGTATTGAAGCACGGAAGCACATTCCGTTACGGGAGTAATAAATGCCACCTTAGACCGTCACTAAGAGGTTGGACCCAAACTCAGTAAACCCTTTGTCATTTCCTTTAAACAACCATAGTTTCGGTATTGAAGTGTGGTGGATCTAACTACCATTATTTGCGTCGCTAGGGTAGAAGCAATCAAGCTGTTGCGATGTATTGCCTAAACGAATAGACCCGCCTGATTCAATGTCACTTACTGGTCAGGAGTTTCGACTAGTCGACTCATCGACTCTGATTAGTGCTTGCTAGCTAGACCATTAGCTTCTGCATACACTGCATTTGTCCATTTGCAGTGTTATGCACTCGGTAGTGCCTACACAAGTGTAAAAGTGTGATTTCATTGGAGAGTGGTTTGCTTTCTTCTTAACACGGCAGTCGGTGCAATACATGTGCCATTTCACTTGAAATCGCCTTCCTGCGCACTGTAACAAATGGCACTTGTCATTGGATTCGATTTTTGGATTGTTGTGGGATCTACCTTAAATTTTATTCCAATTCTTTTTCACGTCAGTTCATCCAAATCCTTGGATAAACTAGTTTCAGTGTCAAGACAAGACAGCAGAAGAAAAACGTGCAAGAAGTGTGGTATACTCAGCAAATAACGCGGAGCGAGTTACAGCATAAGAAGCACAGTTGGGCGTGCCTACGCGCGCATGCAAAATTAATACGTTTTGAACCAGCCTCAGTCATTGATCATTAGTCAACACTTGACATCCCCCATCGTCGTGCCTGAAGTCAAATTCCTAGTTAGAAACCTACCGATTTGCGATTTCGGCTGGACCGCCTAAGTACGGTCTCACTTGTTTTTTCGGTTTTCACGCCCTTCGCTACTTGCTATGTGCTAGAACTGGAGTCAGATTCCGCTTCGGTCGGTGTGTCTGCCCCGAGGGCGTACGTGGTCCGAATATCGGCGGACGATCCGGCCGTCCGGAAGTTGCAGCACGTTTTGACTTCCTGCAGTACCGAGCACAATTGCTGATTGCCAGCATTCTTCATGTGGTAACCGAGTGTATACTGCTTGATCTCCTATGAATGTGCTTTCATCTTTTAGCTCATCTGATGATGACACAGACTTCCTCTGTCGCTCCTCTACTTCAATACGCGGGTTCGGAAACAACAAATGAACACTCGAACTGAGATTTCTGCCAAACATCAGTTCCGCCGGGGACTTACTGGTGGTCTCAGTGGGTGTGGAACGGTAGGCAAAGAGGAAATGATCCAGTTTCGTTTGCAAAGTCCCTACTCGCTGTTTATTAGGTCTTGTTTCACCGTTTGCACAACCCGTTCTGCTAAGCCGTTCGATGCCGGATGATATGGGGCTGTTTTGATGTGCCGGATTTTATTGTTGGTAACAGCACGGGTGGAATGTGAACCATTATCTGTGCATAGGGCTTTTAGGATGCCATACGTGGCAAAGGAAGGACACATTTTAATAATGGTGGCTTCAGATGTCGCTTGGGTGACTGGATAATCAATCCATTTTGAATGTGCGTCGATGAGTAGAAGAAACATCGTTCCGTTTATCGGTCCAAAGTAGTCGGCGTGGATCCGTTGCCACGGCGCGTCCGGCCACCGCCAGGGGTTTACTGGACCGGGCGTTTTACTGCGTTGATGGGCTTGACAAATATGCTCTGTGTCTGCATCGATCTTGGGCCACTAGCAACATCCCCTTACTAATGCTTTCATCCTCGCCACTCCTGGCTGTGCATCGTGCAGCTCCTAAAGAATCTGTGGGAGCGATCAGCCGAGAGCTCCAGAAAACGAAGCCATCGAATAGACTAAGCTCGTTTCTACGCATTATTAACGGTTGCAGCTCCGCTGTTATTTCAGATGGTCAACCTGTGGTTAAGAAGCATTTTACCATTGATAGCACTGAGTCCCGGTCTGCCCATTGACAGATTGTTGCACTTTGTATTGGTGTTTTCTCTAGATATTGCATTAAATTGACTAGTTCAAATGGAGGAACTTGTTCCTACACAGTTTCAATTACTGATAGACGACTCTTCGCATCAGCTGCGCAGTTGTTGGCGCCGGTAATTTAAACCATCTTGTAACTGTAGGCACTCAAGATTACAACCCACCTCTGCATTCTTGCTGACATCATTTGTTGGATGTCCTTGGTTTCACTCAGTAAAGATAGTAATGGTTTATGGTCAGTGTGCAGCTCGAAAAGATTTCCGCAGTGGTACTGGTGGAACCTTTTACCCCAACGATTACACCCAGCGCTTCCCTTTCCAATTGTGAATAATTCTTCTCCGCTGTTTGCAATGTACGCGATGCGAATGCTATGTGACGTATGCATCCATCGTTTTCACGGTGGCACAGAACAGCTCCGACCCCCTCAAGGAGATACCTCACACTGAAGGATGAGTAATTTATTGGGATCATAATGAACTAATGTCGGTGGAGAAGCAAGGGCTTGTTTAGCTTTAATAAAGGCGTTCCTGTGGTGAAAATTCCAGCACCATGGTACATTTTTGTGCAGCAATTCATTTAATAGCGCTAATACCGTAGATTTGTTTGGCAAGAAACGGAGATAGTGAGATAACATTCCTAAGTACGAACAAAGTGCATCACTGTCCCTTGGCTCATACTTTCTTTGATAGACTTCCCCTTGTCCTTTAAAACTATTATGATTGAGGGAACGCCGCCTCGATATGGATTGCGTAACGCCTGATAAGATTGTCGCTGGCCCGATTGGAGCACGCCTACGATAATTGCTTGTAACGCTGGCCAATCGAACGGAGTTGCGCTGACCTGATGACGCTAGCTTAGCCGGGTGAGACGGAAAATTGAGCGAGCGTGTGACCGATTCTAGCCGCAAGTGTTCGGATAGACACTGACCCCTCGGAACGGGCGCATACGAGAGGGGGGGGTACGATAGACGCGCGCAAATGACTTAGACGCGAAGGCTGGCCAGCTAACGACTCACACGCAATTACGTGACCCGACTGACTCCCAACTGAGGCGAAGAGAAAGAAAAGGCAAGTGGTCCTCTGTAGGCTCTTTTACGACCGACAAAGGGCGATCACAGACAGTGCTATGGGTTATTAAGTTAAGGAAAACAGTCACCACGAAGAGGTGGTAGTTTGTAAATGACCATTGTCAGAAGGTGCGCAGTTGGGGCGCGTCTCGGAGTGGCTGAGCTCTGCTGCGTTGTGGGGAGGAATTGAACCTCGCTTTCCACAGCCATTCTGCCAGGGTTCCTGGCGCGTTTTTGCGGGGACTTTTGACGGACCCGCAACAAAAACATGCAACCCTCGTTCACCTAACTGGTAGCCAAGGTAACGAACGGAAGAGGAAACGAATTCACATTTGCATTTCTTTAATTTAAGTCCGCTTCCTTCCAGTCGCTCGAGCTCAACAGCGTGTCTGAAGTTGTCCTGTCTCACAGCATTCCGAGATGAGAATATCGTCTAGATAAGCACAAGCGAAAGGTATATCCTTCACCAGGTTGTCCGTTATTCTCAGGAAGATGCTGAGCAGTATGAATACCAAAAGGCAAACGAGTATCCTTGAAACGTCCTGTATGTGCTAATAGTAGTAAGTTTCCTATAAGGTTCGTCGAGCTCAATCGGTGCATGTGCATGGCTGAGATAAAACTTGGTAAATTTTTCACCACCTGCCAGAGTTGCGTACAAATCTTCAATGCGTGGCAACGGATACCTGACTAACATAGAAGCTTGCGTAACAGTCATTTTGTAGTCACCACAAATACGTACCGAGCCGTCTGGCTTGGTTACAGTTATTATTGGTGTACTTCAAGCAGAAAATTGTACAGGGATAATAATACCTTGTTTTTGTAAGCGGGTTAATTATTCTTCCATTTTAAGCCTCATGGCGTACGGTAGTGTGCCCGCCTTGGAGAATTTGGACCAAGTGTTTACCTTTAACATTATCGAAGCTTGAAAATCTTTTAATTTTCCCAACCCCCCGGCAAAAAATAGCTGTATTGTTTTAGTAATGCCATAAATCCTGGAGCCTCAGCGACTGTTTTTTACTATCTCCAGCGTATTTGGAAATGCGTGTATCCAACCCCTTACAAGCACATTTGGGCGATCTCCGGAGACCACATATACAAAAAGTGTGCGTGTCCTGTCGTCGTATTGTTCCTTTACCGAGCATTTACCAAGGACGCGTATCGGTTCACTGGTGTACGTGCGATGAACAGAATTGCAAACTGATAAGCGCGACAGCCTGTTCACAGCGTTTTCCTTAATTATCGTCATTGATGCTCCTTTAGCGATTTCCATCTGCACGTTTTGTCCCTGCATATAAAGCTCTAGGGTGTACGGTGCGGACCACACGTTGGGAACTGTATCCTACCATTTGAAATGCAATGGACTCCTATTTGACTCGTTCATTGTTTTAATGGGCTTCCTTCTTCGATATTTGACCGATCTGCATACTCGCACCAAGTGACCAATCTTCCCGCAACTTCCGCATATTGTCTTTTGATGTCGACAGTCCGATGGACAACTATGGCGCTCTCCACAGCGATAGCATACGAACGAACTGGCATCATTATTTGCCTTCTTAGATTTTGGAGTGCTATGAACCAATCATAAATCATCCGATGGGTCCTATAAAATAACCGTTGTTAATTACTGGGTAAGGTTTTCCCTCTGCTTGGCAAGTAGGCAGGCTGTCTCCCACATCAGCGAAAAATCATCTTGTGAGGAGATTTTCTCCCGGGTATTCTTGTTTGAAATCCCAGAAATCAGACACTGGAGCAACATTTTCTCTTCAAACTTAGCTGAACCAGTTTCATTGTATTTGCAGTTTGGTACCGCCTAGAATACACTAGCGATGAATTTGTTTACACTTTCTTCTGGTTTCTGAGAGAGTTTGGAGAAGTATCTAGCTGTAAACACACATTGGTGGACTCTCCAAAGAGCGCTGAATGTATTCAGGACACTGGTTATAGTAGATCATACTTCGTCAATACGTAGAGCGTCAAAGTATCTCTGACCTTCATTCCCAAGGAATTGTCGTAAAAGTTTTACTTTGCCTTTTCCTGTAGGGGACACTGCTGGATTCAAGATGGGAAGCAACTTCAGATAATCAAAAAATGTTTTTCGCCGTCGATTCCATTTGTCCAAAGACGGTTTGTCGGTAGAACAGGACCAGAAGATTTGTGGAGTGTTCGGCGCAGACATGTTATCCGGGTTACTGTTTCATGAGCCAACTGAGTTCAATCAATAGAAACGCTTAGATCGCCTCTACAGGTCTAGGTTATTCATTACGGTGTTTTCCACTGTAACCAAACTCAGTTTTCCTCCACCTGTCTCCACATTTGTTGGTGCATCATCGGAGACCATTACTAAAATCGTCACCTTAAAAAGCTGGCGAACCGAATCATAATCCACTCTGTCTGTATTCAACTATTTTTTATTATCAACCGGAACATAACACAACCTTTTTGCTGGATTTCTCGAGGACTTCCCTTTAAAATCAGCTGACAATTCAGCTCATCACTAGTGATAGATGGCGATGGCCATTGTCGTTTGGCTTCATTATGTAAAGGAGGGACAACCTAGCTCCCAGTCATCTTTAACCGTCGCGACTAGCTCGATTTCTATCACTGGTTCATGCATTTTCGGACATTTAAATGTTCTGTTTGTGACCACATTGTGGTTTTCTGGTCAATTCCACCGGCTTGGTGAGCACCACTAGGCACCCAAACTCAGGGTGCAACCGCTAGCACCTACTCCTTCGAATAACTGGATTCTGTGAACGATATTGAAGCTGTTCTCCTTTCTATAAACCGTCTAGAAATGGCTCGTTGTGATACGTTGTGAGCCGTCCTCCAACCACGACGACACGTGAAGGCGCGGATGTCGGTCGGTGATCGAAAATATTACGTGCTTACCTTGTAATCCGTAGGTCACTGCCTCAAACCCGCATAGGTGCGATATACTCAGGTTGTTGCGTGGCAACGGAGCGTCAGTCAGTGTGCCGACATAATGTTGATGCGTTTTCATCCTAAAGATATCACCGGCGTGCTGATAGCCCTTTTACCAAAGAAACCTCCAATCAGCATGTGTCTCGTGTCCCATATTTCTTTTATCGCAAATTCAATAGTCGGGAGTTATGTGACTTCGCCCCCTCCATCAGCCGAGGATCAAATTTCACTCGGAACACTTTTTTATTCTAGAACTTACCTCATATATTTGGGCGTTAAGGTAAACACGGGGTCAACTGTTCTAAGTTACGATATTTTCTAGAACTTTCCTGCCGTCAACATTGCTTTTACGACATATTTCTTCGTTACGCAGATCGCTTAAGTATAATCGAATGCAGACCCTTGTGACTACCAGATGGTACTTTGGCTACCTGGCCGCAGTAGTGCGGGGTAGATTGTTACTGATGAGCCTATCCAAAGGTGGCGGAATTTCTATCGCACAGCGACCTGTTAGGATCGAACCAAATTCCTCCCCAGTTTTGGCCGTGGTGAACTAACTAACACTCATTTGCTACGACATGCGTATACGCTTGTGCTGAAACCCTAACACAAGCGTGTCAGTGAATTTTGACAAGTTCGCGTATATTCAGTCCCATTGCTCCGCATTTTAATTATCTTACTTCGATGTCACGGTAACACACTGATTGGTATGCCTTGGCCATTGGCCAGATGAGGAGACCATCTTGGTTTGATGGTTTAACGGATGCGCTCTGATCCTGTACAAATCAAACCTGAATCGCGTTTATCTTGATATCGTTCATGATCTCATTCATTAGCATGATCTCATTTTCCCCCCAAGGGCCGATTTTACAGTGCCGCAGTGCTAGCAATCCTGCTGTTTCACTGCGAAATTTGACTCGTCCGCGCGAATGGCGTCTACATATTTCCCGTTTTCAAACTGCTTTGCAATATCAAAACGAAGTTGTTAGTAAGGACGCTCGTCGAAAGATATCCACTTCAGGCTGGTTCTACCGACCGACCGATGGACTGCACACTTCCCCCTACATACGCTTCGCATCTCTGGCCAATGTATGCTTTCATGTATTCTCTGCTTGCGCTGAGCCCAACTGCAATTGCCAGCAAGATGGTGAATGCAAGGCTTAAGCTGGATGTATCGGAGCGCTAGCTCCAATAGTGATGGTTGTAGGTTGTGTTCGACTACCGAGTTTTGGAGTGAGAAGACGACGACCGCCACTTGTAGCGGCGTTGTCGGACATGTGTGTAGTCACCTCGCGATTTCTGCTCAAACTTCTGAGACCTCGTACTTTCCTGTGCGAACAATGACACGAACGTCGGCAGCCGGCATGAGGTACGAGTTACGCACCCTAGATTGCATGTGCTTCTAAACAATGTCCCTCAGAGGTCTCCACCGTTTTGGTTCGTTCTCGAACAGACTTCTTCAGACAACCCTTTCTGTTCACATAGCGAAGTATCTTGACTTTTTTCTAATAGTTTGGGTTCCTATATTTTGCAGTTTCATACGCCCCCCTCTGTAACTTACCACGAGTGCTCATCTTTTTACACATGCAGCTTGGAACGGCTTGGTTCACGGCACATCCGTTGCTACTACTTACTGGGGCGCTGTTCGCTGATCACGTGAGGTACAAGGTAAGCTGTTATGTTACCACATGGTGTTGGTGAATTAATTCCGAACCTTTTCTAGGATTGTTACATGGAATGCTTCTCTACGTACAACATGCTATGGTGAAATATAAGTACAGATAATTATTGACCATATGACATGCCATATGCTCGAACACCTCGGGTCGGTTCAGGATTCACGCTGAATTGTCGGACGCTGTCATGATAACAAGCAGAGGTGCCCCTTTTCCATTCGATTTTGTGGGGGTGTTTTATCACTTCGCTGATATTGCTCCGGAGAAAACTGTTTGCATTATGTGTCCCACGACAACATGCTCATGCTGTTTCAATGCAGCATCCTCCTCGCTATGCGTGTGCCCTTTCCGCCCTCATAGTTATAAATATCGTACTAGACTCAGTTAATCACTTGTAGGAAGAAATTTAGCCTATTTGATCAATACATCTATCTACCTTGGCTGCTGCCGCTAGTGTAACCTCTAATACTGGCTTAACTATTACATGAACAGGAACCGCTTCCATGGAAATCTGATGCCAGAAGAGAATTTCCATTTTGCATCTACTCGACCCAGTGAGGGACGTTTCGCTCTGTTGCTGTGAGACAATTTCCGGTCCTTGACCACGGCTACCTTCGAAGTACTGGTGACCTCTATTGGTACCATTGTGTCCGCAACAATGATCTTCCCGACCAGCACTAGATGGCAATCGTTGCACTACTTCCTTAGATAAACAAACAAAGTCAAATAGTCCACATTAACATCTTACGGATGCCCGCCCAATGCTTACTGAGGATAACCGGCTCTGAAGCAGCCTAAGATCCGAGATGAACAATCGTTGGTCTGTTAGCAGAAAATGGAGCCTTTGATCATTAGATTGGACACTGCTGATCTAGCTGGTCATGCGACCCATTCTGTGCTGCAGACTTTACGAGGACACTGTCTGTAGCTGCTGCCCATAAGACCTACTATGCTGCTCACGTCGTCGTTATCAACCGAACCAGCATGTTGCCAGTACCTCAACTGAAGGAAGCTCTGCCGACCGGTGCCAGCTGTCATTGTGTACACTGCTTCACATGTAACTGCGAAGCCAGTTATATTCTCCGAAGCAATGGAGCATTGTCTTCCCAGATGAAGAAACACGTACCGAAGTGGATCGTGCGTAGAATAAACAAACAGCCTTATCTTCCCCAAGCCCTGTCTTCGTGAATGCCACCGGCATCTCTCTATCAGCAGACAAACATTGTGGGATGACATTGTCATTTCGTACATACTCGTCAACCACAATACAAGCAACTAAAAAAGAATGCAAAAAACAAGTTAACATGAAATGAATTGTAGATCACATGTTTTCCGTTTGGTGGGTTGCACGCTACCACAGTAGGCTTAATGTCACTGTCAGCTGTTTTTGGACACAGCGGTGGGCGCTGTCGATGGATCACAATGGCCTAGAGTAGCTTGAGTGTGTGAGACCTTTGACTGCGCATGAGGACTGTGAATGACTCATCTGGGTTCACTTGGTGACCGGTGCTCATCAAATGTCTCGCAATCGCGGAGGCAACTTTGTTTCTCCATTCACCGCGTGCGATCGTCGCATTTTCCATCTGGTTGCAGAGCCACTTTGGAATGTGTTCATCGATCCGAGCATCCAGATTTCGAGTAGTGCGCCCAACATAGTTTTCACCCGAGCTACACGTGAATTTGTATAAGAAATGGGATGTGCACTGCTTTGACACAGGCATCTTCACTGAACAATTAAGTATTGGTCTTGCAGTCACCAACAAGCGTAGCTCTGCTACGTTGTACGTCTTTTTCCTTGAGGTGCTTATTCTGTTAACAGTGACTTGCATGACTTGGCCACATTTGAATGGCAGCTCAATGAACATCTGTTTCTTTTGAACCGTTATCTCTGGATCTCGTTTCATCAACTCACTGTATATATATATATATATATATATATATATATATTACATTTTTTTATTCACAAGTCTGTAAACATAAAAGTGTGCCATCCGAACCATGGTGGTAGGGAAAGGAGAATATATTGTTCAACGAGGAGAGAAAGAGAGTAAAACGTTAGCAAAATGTTTCCTTTCAGTTTAACACACGCCATTTTGAGTTTATTTTTGTTTTCAGGTTCTGTTCCACATTATAAGATACAGAATGAAGTGATGGTAGAACAGCATTGACGCCATTGACTCCTATTGCGGGCTATATCTTTTAAGACTTCTAACCATTGGGAATCCACTTCACTTGGTCCCCAGCCTGGGAGACACACGAATCCAGCTGACACTACACACGAAGTTAGAGTCTTCATACTCCTTTTCCAGGTCATCGGTTGTCTGGCGCGGGTCTTTTTCCTTTCGCGCATAGGATGTGCAACTAATGCGCGACGTGGAAGGCAGTTGGCCGGCATGCTTAGTATGTGATCGAGCCAACAGAGCGGTGCTTGATAATTATGCTCTGGAGACCAGGACTGTCCGCTCCCATGATCCTGTTTCTAACTTCCGCGTTGCTCACATGGTGCTGCCACCATACGCGAGCAATCGAACGGAAGCAGCGGTTATTTAAAGTAGACAGTCATCTCAAATCTTCCGATCGAACAGGCCAGGTCTTGCATCCGTACCGTAGGACAGCACGAACTGTGGCATTGTACACTCGGTCTTTGAGTTTGAGACTGACATCGCGACGACATCACAAGTGTCAGGTTAGTAAATGCAAGGCGAGCTTCGGCAATTAGCTTTGAAATTTCACCGCCAATACCGCCACCAGCCGTAATGCAACTCCCGAGGTAAGTAAAGCTGTTAACGAGTTCCAGGCTGACGCCAGAAATGGTGAGCGTAGGCGCAGGAGCCTGCCGATCCTGCAGCAAAGCTTTACACTTGGATGAAGCAAAATACAGACCGTAGTTAGATGCCTCTACTGCTAAGAGGTTCAGAATCTTTTGAACAACCTGCGAGTCGTCCCCCAACAAAGCGATGTCATCAGCATAGTCTAGGTCCACGACTCTGCTCGCGGGTGGAAGCTCAACACTGCAGCTCTAGGCTCCTTCCAGTGCGCGATGTAGGACATCTTCGATGGTAAACTTGAACAGGAACGGCGAGATAGGACAACCTTGGCGCACTCCACTGGTAACAGGAAACGAAGAAGAATGCCTTCCTTAAGCTCTAACTTTGCCAGAGGTGTGACTATACAGCTCTTTCAAGAGTATGACAAACTTGTCGGGAACGCCGTTCCGTAGCAGACAGTTCCACAGTGACGACCTATCTACTGAATCAAAAGCGGCTCGGATATCCAAAAACACCACCATTGTTGGTCCTCAGTGGACGTGACGATGTTCGAGAAATTGACGTAATGTGAAAATTTAGTCAATGCAACCACGGCCAGAACGAAAGCCAGCTTGTTCCTCACGACAGAAACTCTCGCTCGTAACTGAGCCTGTGCAGAAGAATGGACACAAAAAGCTTGGACGCAACAGAGATAAGGGAGATTCCTCGGTAGTTGGTGCATTCACTACGACAGCATTTCTTGTAGATCGGAACCACAACAGAATCTCCCTGAGTTAGGAACCTTCTCATCTCACCATACTTTTGTGAATTGTGATAGAATTTCGGTGACAACTAAGTTCCCCCATCTTTGAATAAGGCAGGAGGAAGACTATCAAGGTCAAGAGCTTTGTGGCGTTTCCGAGTCTGGGTTTCTCACCATATTTCTGCTTCATTAGGATGACCTCTGCAGACTGACCAAGGATCACATGATATATATATATATATTTGCAAAAGTCTGTTAACAGACATAATGCCATCAGAAACCATGGGATTCAAACGAAGGTACAGAAACAGTAAAATAAAACACAACACAACACAACAATGGAAACCAGGATCACATGATGGCAGTGGATGTGTCACCTGAGGATGTGTCGAGTAATTAAACTGGAGAGCAAAGTGCTCTGCCCAGCGATCAAGACGTCTGCGTAGGTTGGTGATCTTTGCACCGTCTGACTCACAGGTGGTCTGACTAATGGCCTGAGCTTTGCGGCCGGTGGATCTGATGAGATAAAACAACCTGCGGCTATTACCATCAGAGGCAACAACTTCCATTGCTTTGGCCTGTTTAGACCACCAGGATTCACGGTCACAGCGAAGACTCGTTTTCAGTTGTCTGGACATAGAACCGCTGAATTCACCATGCTCCACACTGACGGGCATAGCTCACCGATAGTCGAGAAGTTCCGCGGAGGTGGCCGATATCCTACTTTTAGTTGTGCAACGAACAAGACTGCAACTGGATATACCCGCTGAAAACATAATCTGTTGCAATCGCGGTCAATGCTGATCAACATCCCGAGGAGGCGGAGAAGTGAGGTTCTCACGAAGCTGCTTTTGATATTCCAGTTGTCCGGCAGGTTTTTTCAGATTGTCTAGGTGAGCCACTGAAACGCATGCAAACCGACGCACGCACTAGCGCATGATCAGTTCCCACGCATCTTTATCAATAGGATCTGCAGTCCGGAATACTGCCACGCCAGCGATGACTTATGGCGATATGATCAATCTGTGACCAATGTTGAGGGGATGATGGAGCGTGCCAGGTAGCGTAGTGACGTCTAGGGTGGCGAAAGTTCGTGCTGGAGAGGTAAAGTTGGTGAACGGCACAATAACTGAGTAGTCTTTCTCCTTTATCTGAGTGAAAGTTGTCGTATCCATGCGGGCCTCCGAGATGAAGTTCGCTTGGTAACAACCGATCAACATGCGATTTGAAATTTCCCACCATAATAATGATGTCTGTTTTGGGGGCCCTTAAGACTAACTTGGTCCTTGACGCTATTTGGGCTACAGTCAGTGTGAGCATAGGCGGAGAGTACAAAAGGAGCACGTTTGTCTTCACGACGCCTGGTAACCTTGCACGAGCTATGGAGCCTGACAGCACAAAGGCGACTGTTGATCGGAATCCATTCGAGAAGGGTGGCTTCGGCTGTGGCACTAAGGGCAACCCCCACACCAGCTTGTCCAG